TTTCACAATCACTAGCCTGTATTTCACGATCTTTGAGGAAAGCGAAGTTGTAATTTCTGGTTCCTGTTTGAATTTCAGAAAAGCAACTAAGGTGGTTTTTCATTTGTAAGCACTTGCACCAGTTACTGCTGCTGTTATCAGAGTAATTTACACAACGTGTGATACACTACTTCTGTATTTCTCCTCTAAGCCTAATAAAATACATTGCTGTTGAAGAAACGCGATATGTATGAGAGTTTTCTAAATCACAAGTCTAGCATATTTTTATGCCACATATTTCAAGCTTCATGGAATCAATAATTAATTTATTAACTGGGTATCTTTTGAAAAAACAAAATCGGCAGTCCTTGCTAAACTGCGTACTGCCAATTCATAAATAGTTGATGACAAAAATGAAAGTGTAACGGTAAAATTCAGATTTTAACGATCAAAGTATTGGGTACCTCATCTATCACAACTTGGAATAAATATATCACAGAATGTGTCATATCTCATTGACACTGTGAGACATAATGCTTTCCCTTGTTATCTAGCTAACTGCCAACTCTACAAAGTTTATAGGCTGCTAAGATAATGTGCTGGTGGTAATCCACTTCAGTTGCAGAAATATGAAGTACTGTTGAAATATATTTCTACTTGGTTTATTCTTTGCTCTCAAGAGGTTAGGATACTATTTCAGTTCCTCTAAAGAGGCCCAGAGAATGAAAAGCAAAACATCAGGATAAATTATGCTAAATGCTGGACTAGACCCCAGAGGAAATCATGCTTCTGTGGTACAGTATTTGTCCATTTATCTTACAAATGTTACCTCTAATGTTAATTTTGTAAAGGGAAAGCATTCAAAGATTCATCTGATTCTTTTAATAATAGCAGTAGTGTTGGAGTGTTATTTGTCAAACTCAAACCATCGTAACTTACTTTTCTAGTTGTGACAGACCGTTCATACTGAAAATATTTAAGACTACTAATACATAACATTTTATTTCACAAAACACAAATAACCTGGTAATTAAACTCCAAAACTTAACAAATAATTGCCAGCAAGCAATTACCATTCAATTAAAGAGTAATTACATGGTTATTTGTGCCCTGTAAAATAAAGCATTACTGAAATCAGTAACGCAATCAATATTTTAGCAGAAACAGGATGCTGCAGTGATGGACCTTTCAACCTGTGCTGATTAAATTGTCATCCAAAGAACAGTTTCCTAGTTAAATCACCACGTGTTTATTTGTCTTGATGAATATGCAAATTCACTTCTGATTCCAGTAAATCTCTTATATTTGAAGCATGAAAGTAGAGCACTATCGTACATCAACAGTAACGTGCTGTATGTTTCCACTGATTATTTATATTTTACAAGTGTTGATGAATTTGTGGGTTTTCCAAAATATGCTTATCTGTAATGGTTGTAAAATAGAATTTTAAAAGTTGGAGTTGATAGAAACTTTCAAATTAAAAATCCTTGGGATGTTCAGAGGATAAATAATAAAGTTACATTTCAACAGGAATGGAAAATGAAGGGAAAAAGAACCTCACTCTGTGAGTGGTTTCTAAACATTCTCTGTATAATTTTCAACAGTCAGATGTACTCATAAAGTGTATTTTATTCTCTGATGAATTTCATTCCAAACAGAATACAGAAACAAACAATATTCAGATCATATTATCCTGACAGGTCATTGTTCTCTTTCACGTTTACTGCCTTTTTGGCTGAGCAGGATAATGGGAGCCTAGGCACAGGTAAAACCCCAAGCCTCCAGCCATCTCTCTTGGCAAGTAATTGATGACTCAGAGGGTTTTTTTTTTTTATTTATTTTTTATATTTGTCTTTTTTTTTTTAGGGATAATAGTAGAACTTTATTAGAGCTGGCCATTTTATTCGCACTCATGTAGTAAAAAGAATATGATTACCAAATACGTATTAATGGAGATTGTATTGTACTTCTCCTTTAAACTCTGTGGTCTTGACTGTAGCCATAAAACTACTTTAACATTAAAATAATTTAAAGATGTATCTGTAAGCCAACAGCTTCTGATTGAAGTAACATCTTACTGAGGATTGAGTCACTTTCCATTCTTAAGGGCAAATTAATGGCAAATACAAAATGTAAAGGAATGTTAGAAGTTGTTCAGAGCTGATCATTCAGCTTCTTGCTTCCTTTTGTTATCAGTGAGGAAGAAACAAGCTTTCAAGTATTTAAATTCTCTTAATGACATGAAGGAAAAAGTGGAAAAGAAGCGGCAATAGAAGAGCTAGGTGTCAAAAGATATGGGGAAATAATATTAAATAAGTTTCATATGTTTATGCTAGTGCTGCTAACATTTCAAAGTTAGTAGTTATAAAATAATAAATTTTATATATTACGTATGTATTATAGTCCCGTTTCCTTTCTGAAGGCATTTCTTAGACATTTTCAATAAATTGTGAGGGTCAGATATGTTTTAAATAGAACGTGTAAATCGAAATTCCAGGCTTCCTAAGGTGATAAGTTGCACTGTGTGGGCAGTGGAAATGTGCAGACGGACAAGTGAGTTTCCTTGCTTGGCAGCGCCAGCCCAGCGCCAGCAGCAGCGCGGTTGGAGATAAAGCGAAGCGCATCGTGTGTTTTAATGCACTAAGCTTTTGTTTCCTTTGTGTAAATCTTGCGTTGAAAAGTAAGATTTCCTTCAGACATTTTTATCCCGTCTCTGAGATTTCTGCTTCGTGTTCAAACAAAAATGCCAGAATTTTCTTTCAGCTGAAAACTATAAATGCTTGTATTCAAATAGGCGCTTTCTTTGAGCTGTCCTCCCAGGAAGAAACCATGGTTATGGTACATCAAAAATAATGAATCATAAATGTTTCTTCATAAATTCTTTTAGAAATGTTCTTTTTTGTGTGTGTGTGTGTGTTTTTGTTTATTTTTTTAAAGATTTTTGTTACAGCTTATATGAGCATACAGAGTGTTGCAAATATGTTGTAGTATTTGAGCTTGAGAAGGGAACGCTTTGTGGTTTAGTTGGTTGAACTGTTGGAGAAAGCTGCTCATTTTTGGTGTTTTATTTTTGTGATTTTTTTGCAAATGCATTAAGTGCCAATTAAGCACCGAGAGATTCATGTATGTGTACAGACTTGTGTAAATTGAAATTGTAACAACTCACTTTTATTTCACATCTCCACGTACAAGCCTAATAGCGTATGGTAGATGGCCATTCAGCAGGTGTTTTTAATAGATAATCCATTTGTGCATCTAACTTCCTGTGAAATTTGCATGCTGTTATTTTAGATTTACCTTATTAAAGCCTCATGAATCTGGGCTTTCATAGTAAGCCGTACTTTAAAGCCATCATAGTAGGATAAAGCATAACAAAGTAAAATGGAAAATGCGCTAAATAAGATGAAACACAAAATGGGCAAACCTGAAGCTAAAAAAAGGACAGGATAGTTATTTAGAGAGAAAATAATAAACTGAAAAAATGATTTTGTGCTACCTTGATGTACAGTAAAACAAAATAGCACTAGCACAGTGTGTGAAAAATGAACACGTTAATGGTACCTCTGTGCAGTGTTGTTGGAAGTCGTCTTCATCTAAACACAGAGTTTGTCTTACATTGATGGAGAGCTTTGGCACTATAAGTTGATGGAGTGAGGTTTAACTGAAATGTCTTTGCGGACTTGAAGTCATTTTGGAAATGCTCTCTATTCAAACCTCATACATTGTTGCAGCTTAGTTACTTCATGCAGTGCTTCACTATATTTTGTCAAGAGCTCTATTATTCAGCAAAGTAAAAATTGTTTTGATCTAAGGGAAGCAGGAGTACTTTGGCAAACACTAGGAGGTCATATTTTTATTATTTGTCTTGGGAAAGTTGATTCAAATGGTCTTTGCTCTGTAAATCTGTATTATGGTAGCTGTATAGCATAATTTCATGCAGGCGTACTTAAGAGGTGAACACGATAGCTAAAAAATAGATACTGTAAATGAATATTCAGATCTTTAACATTTTGGATAAAAAATCACAGGCATAATTGATAAGGTGGTTGAAGATGGAGTTTTTACAGGTTGGACATACTTGGTGTAACCTATGTGTGGTAGTCAAAACCACAAGTCAGTCTGTGAAGTAATCAGCTTTGGAAAAGCTGAGTATTAAATTAGTGCTGAGTCTTCAGAAATAGTCTGTTAGCTGCCATGATTCAGAACAAGGTGGTTAATATCATAAAGATTGCATTGTGTTTAAATTTGAGTCAGTGTGGCTTTTCAGCTTGCTTGGTGCACATGCATGGCTCAGACTGGGGAGCAGTTACTGCTGATATCTCTCTCTGTTAGTGACCTGTATGAGCTGGGAAACCCTTGGCTAGTACATGGATTGTAGAGGTGCATGTGGGTATGCCTCCCTGAAGCCAGGCTGGCTGAGTTGCCGTGGAAGTGCCTGTAAATGGTGGTTATATTCAATTGAACCGGAGCTAATAAATTCTGGTGGACCTAATCTGAATGGCTCTGGTGTCCCCCCAGTCATTGCATCATTAATCTGCATTACCCAATAATCTCCATTTGTGAGATGAGTAAAGCATCTAGTTGCATTTTCAAGACTTTACCAACATGCACATGAATCTCTTGTGCTCTGTTTTGCAGGCAGGAGTACTGAGAAACACGTATTAATTAGCAAGGTAGTGATACGTTAGGACTAGAATCTGGATTGTTTTGTTTCTGCTGTTTTGGAAGTAAAATGAAAGTTTTCTCATCATTTATGTGACGTAGAGCTCACGACTGTGTTAACTACAGGTGCTATTTGACAATGTACTGTTAGTTCATTTGAAATCTATGCATTGTATCTATCTAAGCAATCTAAGCAATGTATGCTTAATTGACTGAGGTTTTTTTTTCCTCCTGGGCAAGAACTGCTAATATAATCTCACATATTTTTGATAGTTTGTGTATTTTATACATACATTATGTATAGTAAGGAAATATTTGAAAAATAAAAAGCATTTTCATTTATCTTCTTATTTCATCAGCTCACGGCCAGGAAGACCCCCGAAGCGTTCACTCGGAGTTGCGATACAGGAAAATGCACGTCTTCTGCCCCATGGAGTTCCAGGCCTCTTATCACCAGGCCTTATCTCTCCGACAGGTAATAAAATCCATCAGATGATCAGCCTCATCTCTTCATACTGCACCGCAGTTAAAATAAACTAATATTGATCTAAGTGCCTTGTCCTTCATGGCTTTTTCAAGCTTTAGCAGAGGTTACGTTATTGGATTTTTTTGAGCGTTCATGAAAATTCTGTTTTGTTGCTGCAGTGACTGAAATCTAGTGGATTTGTAATTTAGTTCTTTATTAATTGTAATTTCCTTGCAGGAAATTCCATTAAATGTTATTTTAGTAAAAGGGGAGAAAAAAGAAAAAAAAAAGAGAAAATGAACAGTTGTTTCAGAGAGCCCTGTAGCATGCATTTCTTCCTTTCAAATGCATGTGTGTTTTAGTTCTCATGGGATATGAACAGCGTGGCTAATGTGTATTGTGTTGTAACACTGTTAATGTATGCTGGGAAGATAACAAAATGCTTTTATGAGATGTAAAAGAAACACTCAGAAAGCAGATAAGTTCATGTTACCACAGTAGATCCTATTTTAATAATGTACATTAAATGTCATAATATAAAAAGAAGCATAAAAACATGATATTACAAGCAATCTCTACTCAAAATGTAATGCATGGTGTTTTATTCCACTTTATTATTTATTAGTAAAATCTTAAGTCCCTAATTAAGCTATCTTGATAAGTTTTTTGTTTTTTTTTTTTAATTGATGGTATCCCAAAGACAGGCGAGTTCATTTTGCTAATAAAATCAAGAGGGTACAGCTATATTGACAGACTATATTCCTCACAGTAATTATTTAAATATTCAGGAGGCCTAGCAGTTTTAGGATTACCGTTAAAGTCCAGTGTGAACATGTTGTATCTCTAACAACAAACTTAAAGGTTTTAGCAGAATGCAGAGAACAGCTCACAGCAATCATAGAATTAAGTGTTTGTCTCTAATGCAGTGACTGTGGTCTCTGCTCGCAAAACCTGTTGCAGTGATTGAGTGCTTCAGTGAGTCCCAGTGTCCAGGAGAGCGACAAAGCTGAGGACTTTGATTCCTCCTACAATTTCACAGAGAACCAATAACCCTTTTCTGTGAAAATGGAAATAAACATTCTCAAGCAATAGTCAGAGAAACCTGAAGTAGTTAATGTAAGTATAAAAGCCTTTTAGTACAGCCAGATGCCACAGTCAAACAAGTGCAACTTCACATACTGTAAATACATGCAGCAGAGTTTGGGAATTGTATGTTACTCTTATAATAACAACTGACAGTTTTAGTATCTCTGTCATGTACTTAGCCCAGGAATTTCATGGGTATTTAATTGTTTGGATTATTACCAATAAACAGGAGAGCACAAGAGTCACCTACTTGTGAGAAATCTGGAATATTGCATAGTGCGTTTTCACCTTTTTTTAAATGCACATTACAGTGTTTCTTTGAATTGGAAAATATTTGGCAAACTCTGTGTTGCACAGTAAAATAGAATCTAGATGCAGCATCTCACATATATTAAGTATTACAGTGCGTGAATAAAAATGTTTAAAGTGTAGTTATTTCTAGAGTTTGATTTTTTTTTTTTAGTCTGAAGTGGTGACTGGGACATATCCCACTTCATTTAACTTGTGGAATATTGTGTAAGGAGATTGCCCCCAGGTGCCCCCAAGCTCCCCTTTCAGCTGAGGCCCAGGGTGGCTGCCTTTCTGACCTCGCGAGCTGTATGTGAAAACCTTTGTGTGACCAAATGGCAGAAGTCACACACACTGTGCCTCAAGCAGCTGAAGGGGAGTTCTGCAGTTAAGTTGCAGGGAAGAAAAAACACACAATTCCAAAGCATCACAGTTGTTGAGTGCTCAGGTGAGATGGATCCCTGAGGGTGAAGCGTCCTGTAGCCAGCCCATAGCACAGGTGCTCTGCACCAATGGCTCTGTAGTCTCAGGACTCAGAGCCCCTGAAGTTTTGGTCTTGTTTTGTTCATAAAGAAAAGCAGCACAGGGAAAGTTGGGGTAAGTGCTGAGTAAGGAAGGGTGCCAAAAGAGCCACTTGTAAACTCAGTGGGGGATCTAAGCTGTTGCAAACTTGACGGAGCACCTGGGATATGAAGCCTCCATTAGCTTTATTTATATTTGTTTTCACTTAATTACTGTCTGCTTTCCTCTGGTTGCTTTCAACACTTCTGCAGTTGGATTCTTTCCTTTTGGCTGAGCTAAGAACAAAAAAAACATTTTAACACTTACTAAAGAACGAAGGCTTTTATACCAGGCTTCTGAGTGGTGGTTAATAGAATAAAAGTTGCAAGGATATTAAAGTGTTGTGTATCAGCCAAGTGTTAATTTACTTATTTGGGATCTCAATTGTATATGGTTTGCAGATGGTTATGTTAATCTGCCTACAATATTAAAAAAATATATTAAATCAGACTCTCTCTTTTTATGTGATCAAGCCATTTTCAGATGGGACCAAATTACCATCAAAACTGTTTTATTCTTCAGATAACTCATTTTGGTAACAGACTCCATGTTAGCAGATGTAGCATGATTCATCCATCCATTTCACATTCTAGTTTTGCCTCCCCTTTAGTCTGTGGTCTCTATCCATACGTGCTGTTGGTTAGATGGATACGTCTCAAGAAGTTGCTGTTCTGGCCATAGAACTCACACATCTGTCTGTAGAGGGTATTACAAGAATGATGATTAGCAACTTCCTGCAGACTTTGGTGAGCCATCTGCGTTTCCGTTCCTTGAAATGTGCTGTTATTTTCATCACCCATTTGGTTTGTGTCAGTTCAGTTTACGTGGTCATTTTCACATAATAAACAGGTAGTTAAATTAGGCATACTGCATTTCCCAGTGCAGAGTATAATATTTTACATCTTGGCAAAGAGGGCTACAACTACTTTCATGCAAGAAATTGGGAAAGCAGTTTAAGTGAAGCACCTATGTTTTCAAACACTTCCAGCTACCTTCTGCCTTTGGGGAATGGGAATGTTTGAGGACGAGGCTGGAGCAGCAGGGTGACTTATCCTGCAGTGACTGAGAACGATGAGGCAGCGTGTCTAGGATACATGCTGATGGGAAGGGCTTGAGCAAACAGCACAATGACCCTGCCCAAGAGCTGATATTTGAGTACTGTCCATTTTGCATTAGCTTAGGAGAAAGTGTTGTGCTTCCTGTATTGTAGGAAATGTCGAAATCAGCGTGGTGCCCCTGCCTGCTGTGAGGGCAAGGGAAAAATCCCATATGTCAGTGAGGGACAGTTATCAAAGGCTTTCTTCTTTTTCTTCACACAATGCAGTGTGATGAAGTGACATTAATAGGAGATAAAGCGTTTGGGGTTTTTTTGTTAATGTACAGGGCTTTGTCTTCAGTATATCTTAACAAGATGGTTGGGACTTACTGATGGAACTTTTAGGCTCTGAAGCAGTGGTTTGCTGTGTGGAGAGAAAGTGAAATCCATTATGTTACTTAAATCAGCAGTTCAGAAAACTGTTGATACGGAGCGAAGCTGCTAGAGTAGCTCAATCTTGTCATAGTTGTTCTGCCTGTAATCTAGCTGATACCCAAAAAGGTTTAAAAAAAGCACTATATGAAGTCTTCATTACAGGTTTTTCTCTATTCAGTGTGTTGAAACACTAGTATTATTTCTATAAAATAAAAACAGATACTGTTTAGCTGAATAGCTGTTTGTCTAGAGTTTATAAGAAACAATAATTAAAATGTTGACTTGTTTGTGCTGACATGAACAGTTTTTCAGTGTAATTTTAACTTAAAAATAGTTAAGAACGTTGTGAAGTGCATAGTTTCAAGATCTGATATTTCAGTGAAATTACTATTGTAATAGATAAGGCAAATAGCATCACTGTGGGAGTTAAACAAACAAAAAAACACCGTACAGGATTATGGTAACTTTGTGCATTACTCCAATTCAGCAGTGCTTTTTAGCAGTCACTCAGCCTTTCCAGGGAACAGAGAGAATACAGCAGTATTTGCTGTAGTGTTTGAGCTGGTTCCCAGTTGTTTGTTATGGAAGTGGGCATGTGGCCGTGCAACAGAGCCCTGCTACCTGTGGGAACTCCTCTGTGCCACTGCTCCACAGGTCTCCTCCTTGTTTTTTTTTCCTGAAATGAGTGCAGCCATAGTGCCCGTGAGTCTGTGCTGCCTGTGGAACTGGGAGATGTGTCCCGGGTTGAGGAGAAGGGCAGTAGGGGTGTCCCTTAAGACAGGTGCAGTGGAACTGAAAGCAGCAAATCCGTTTCACGTGCTCAGAGACCAGCAGTGCCAAAACCAGGTTCTGAGGGTGTCTGTGTTCTTAAGAAAGTTACTTGAAGAATAAACATTCATTCAGGGTCACTTAACAGAAAATTTATGGATTGATTTCACCTCTTGAGGTGTTAGATGTAGGGCTGCTGTGGCTGGCAGCAGTCCTAGAACCTCTGAGAGCAGATGATCAGAAAGTTACAGGGAACCTTTTACTTTCTCAAAATACTTCTCTGAGCATTTTTGTATGTTTACTACTATTTCTGCAGCTCATTTCACTGTCTACCGTAATCCTTTTTTTTTTTTTCAGTTGTCGTAGATGTCACTTTAAAGTTCCATTTATAATGAGAAACATATGTACAACTTTGTCATTGTTGGCATTACCTGGCTTGGTAGAAATTATTATTTTTAATCGGAGGCAAACATACCGGTTAAGGATACTGCAGCACTTCCCTGCCAATGGGGAGCGTTAACAGTTTATAAATTGTTCTTGGTGACAATTCAGCAGTGAATTACTTTGATATATATGGCTAATAAATTAATATGATTAAGTTAATGAGTAGTACAAGTGTTGCCAAACTCCACTCGTCGGGCTTTTAATGCTGCTCTGCATTTGCAGCTCTAGCTTCCCCCTGTGGTGAGAGGATCAGTGCTACCTACGCACTGTCATTGTGATAAATGGCATATCCCACAGTGCCCTGCACTCCATCTGCTGTGTCCCCAAAATGAGAAATATTTTATACAAATCACACACTCAGAAGCTCAAAGGACTGTAGAAAGATCTGTTT